CATTATGAGTGAACTCTTTTTAATGGAGAAAAATGTTTTCAGGATTTCTCAATCTGTAACAGAACACTGAATTATCTGCATATATACAAACTTCCAAAAACTCAAACATCTCATATTTTACGGTTCTGTTTGCCTTCCACTCATTCTTTTGATTCTTCCAAGTCAAACGTGAAAGGCTTGTCATACCCCATAAGATGATTATAGTCCTGAGGATACTGGAAGAGCCCTGGGTTCACAAGCATTGATTTTGTTCTGGCATAAAATGTTGTGAACATCTTGCTGATGTCTGGGATTTTCACATCCTTCTGATGGAATACTGTTTTCTTTTCTGCCAAAATGGCATTGTATGTAATGGCTGTGTAGGTGTCCGTTTCAGCTTTATGGTACAACCGAATCACGTAGCCCTTTGTAATTAAATGCAGGGTAATTGGTGTTACAAATGTAAAGAATCCTATAATACTATAAAAGGCAATTTGCAACGGCAGGCTGTTAAAATCCACACCTGCTTTGAAGATGATGAAAGTCATCATGCTAAGGCTAAGCATGCTGGTAGAATAGGAGAAAAATTTCACACCTGCAGGAGAAAGAGAAAGAAAAGGTAAAAAAACCCCTGAGTTTACAGTAGCTCCTGCAGTTGCCAACATATATTATTGATATGCAGCCATTAACCATAACTCAAACAGCAAACAGGGGTAGTTCCACAGAAGATGTTGCATGTGTAAAAATCCTTGCACAAATAAGTGCTAACATTACTCCTTACTATCTGTTTACACAGAGTGAAAGCATTTGTATCTCACCCTATCTCTTTTGCATGTGCAAAACATAGCACACAGTATTTCTTCAGATACAATTCCAAACCCAAATTAAATGAAACCATCCATTGTACATTTCATTGCTTCAAATGCACATTGTTGTTTGGCTGCTGCAGGTGTTGCACCAATGCTTGTATGTGGAACGGCACTAAGTCCATTTTTCCTTTCCCATCCAAGCACTGCTGAATCCAACCAACAGCCCTTTATGGTGCTTGCAGAAGACAGCTTGCCACACGCAGTTTGACCTGTAACCTTCCATCCCGGATAACCCATCCTCTTACCTCAGGAAGTCAGCTACAATGATTCCTGTCTCCAGTATGGACTGCCAGAGCCAAGCATGCACCAAAGCCCCACCCCCTGCCCACATGAATTATACATCTGATTCTCCCAGTTACAGCTCTCCGTACAATCTGCAGCAACGTGGCAGGTGGTTCATCTGTGGCTTCATCCCCCTGCACTGTTGTGGATTTAAAGGCCTGGTGAGGTTTGCAGGAAACAATCAGATGTTGAGGACCCACACAATTGTTCTTTCCCATGTGGTACAGGCCCTTTACGCATTACAGCAGCACCATGCAATGAAGCTACAGAAGAAGAAGTCCCAAATGTGTTCAGAATTAAAAGTAGGTGGTGAATATTCTGAGATTTCCTCACACAAGAACAGATTTTGGTGCTGGGCACTAAGTGTTCACATTACAAAGCCGTATTCTGGAATTCCCTTTTCCCAATCACAAACACCTGTGGAGCCACTGTTCACTCTATGGTGGAAGTCTGTGTGTAGCAATCAGAATATGTAGATTTCCTCAGCAGGGCAAATAGTGTTTCCTTGAGAAAACAGCACTAGGGGTGAGGGGTGGGCTAAGAACCCCTCACCCCCGCATAGCAGTCCCAAAACAAATCAGGCCCCAATGTGCCTTGGAGACACAGCAGCATAAACGAAAAACAAGGTGTAGAAAAACATTTTATTATTTCTTGATCCCAGGAAAGTTTTTCTACACCTTGTTTTTCTGTCCTGCTGCTACTGCTGGTGTGGCCCTGATTTCTTCTCTCCTTGGAGACATAGAACACGTCTTTGTAATGTGTGAATCAACCCTGAATTCAACACCCTAAGAACTTCTACTCATATTTTTCAAAAGCAAGGGGAAAAAACCCACTCTAAGAACCATTACATATACTTTTAAAAGGCAACTTTTCTTAAGCCTAAAGAGATAAGACTTCTGTGCATATTTATTGAGAAGTAGGCTGTGAAGCTTTCAGTAGAACATTCAACTGAGTAAGTGTATATAGAACTGCAAGCGGAAAAGTGTGCGGACAATGCCTGGGGCTATCTTGGAAGCAAAAAAAGAAGTGGGATATGAACACACACTGTATGGCTACATCTGGCTATATCTCCCAGCAGCAGACATACATCCAAGCAAGCATGATATGTGAAGAACAATATGTGAAGCAGCCTGCCCTGGCATTGGGCACTTGGATATTGATGTAACATTCTGAGCCGTACAAACATACCTGGAGACTCATTCATACTTTTGCTTCTGATTAAACCAGCCTTGCACATTGGGACACCCACCATTCTAGGCAACTTGTTCAGAACTACCCATTAGCATTACCCCCTCCCTCCAGCCATAATGCTCTTTAATTGGACCGAGACCAGCAGTGCAAAACGCTTATGACTGCTTCTGCTAGCCATAATATCCCGTGGAAGTGGACTATACAGGGTAGGGCAGGATGGTACTGTAAATCATCCAAATGAAGAATTCCGTTTTCTGCCCTTAGCATATACTTCCAAAGGAACAGAACGTTTGCACTGAAAAACTACTTTCAACTTAAACAAGATTTAGAAACAAGAGATAATAAGAAGCCAAATACTAAAATACCCACCTAATACCATCTTGGCCAAATTTCCACAGTAAACCAATCTTCCATATTCAGACTTGTCATGGAAGGGTGATGTGCTGAAACAGCACAGAGGCTCCACAAGAGGAAACAGAACCTTGAGAAGGAGGGTAGCACACAGTGATGGGTGTCAGCATCTCTTCCAACAATGTTCAGACTATAACAACCACCTACCTAAGCCCACAGTGAATCCCAGAAGAAAGCTATGCCTCTAATCAACATACTTTTCAAATAGTCTTTTGTATGTGTTGTTAATGGTATTAATCCCTAAAATGCTAAAGAACACCTTTTTTTTTTTTTGCTGTCTTTACCCCCATGACTTTCAAAAAGAGACGTTCAGAGATGGTTTGTCATTGCCTTCCTCTGTGCAGCAACCCTGGTATTCCTTGGTGGTTTCCCACTCAAATACTGACCAGGGCCAACCCTACTTAGCTGTCACAAGATCTGACGAGACTGGGCTAGCCTGGGCTATAAAGATCAGGGCTAAAGAACACTACACAACAAAAACTGAGTTTGGGTATAGCTTCAAACGGGAAAAACTATCAAGGTGTTGTCAGTTTGATCTTGAGTTTGTTTAAACTTAGGCCAGGAACCTGAAACAAATAGTGAACAAGGCACCTCTGAACATGGGTGAAGTGCCTTTCTTCACTGAAAAATTATAACCAGCCCCCCCCCCCAAATCAGGAACCTGAGGTAGGAGCCTTTCTTTCCACCATTTAAGAGCCAATATAAACAGAAGTTACAGTTTTCTTTTCAAGCTTCCCTAGCTCACCAGACTATAACTGGCAATGAGCTACTGAAGACTCAACCCCAACTTGTTTAAAGACATCAGCACATGATTGTTGGTGCTGAAGGACACAGCACAGGTTAAAGCAGAATTTCTTATCAAATTTCACACCGTTGGGAGAAATTACCAAACAAAAGACCCAAGGCATTCAGTTACAGTCTTCTCTTTCTACTGTCAGACTTCCTCTGCTTATAGCAGCCCCGTTTTCGCATTCTTTATCCCTAAACAAAGTGCTTGTTAAAACACAAAATGCAAGACCTGTTAGAGATTCAATCCTGAACGTTAGGGGAACTCGAGCGAGCTTGGGGCATTTCCCCCTGTGCTTCCAACTCTTGCTTTTGATCTAGGACTGAGGCTCCGAACGAACTGATTTCTGTAGAGCACAGAGCCCCAGGCTGGGTAACCTAACATTAAAAAGAGTGCCCTCAGCTTACGTGAACATTACCCACAAACAGTACACGGCTTCCCTGCCACCCACCACTCTGAGCATTACAGCGTGGGTCTCTGGTGCAGAGGGCGTAGCCTTCGGGCAAGCTGAAACCGCGGCGCACCGCTAAGGTTTTAAGGAATTCAGAGGGATCTGTCAAGGTCCTCCCGAGCGGAGAAGGAAGCGCTCAAGGGGCAGCACCTGCTTGTTTCCCGCCATGCCGGAGAAGGATCGAGCTGCTCCGCGCCAGACAGTTCGCGGCCCCGCCCTGCTGCAAGAGGCCGCGGGGGCGTCTCTCGGCTCCCCGGCGGCCGAACATTTCTCCACAAGCAGGAGAGCTCGGCACCGCCGGGCACCGCGCAACCATGGCCCCAGGCCCGGCGCACGGCACCCTATTGCGGCCAAAAACAACATTCCCGGCGCTCCAGCCCGTCACTCTCCTGCGGCTTGGGGCGTCGCTTAAACCACCGGGAAAGACAGGCCGAATTCCCGCCCGCTGGGTCCTTCCCTTTCCGGAGCAGCTCTAGCGTAAAGGAGCGGGGTGAGCAGGAGGACCACCCCCTATGGGGGTGGGGGGGGGGGGGGGGGTTGGCAGGAGGCGTTTCCCGGCTTTGCCGCAGCGGGCTGTCGTTTCGTATTTGACTGCGGAAGCGAAGGGGCTTGGGTGGCAGCTCTCAAGAATGCCTTTCTATCGGGCGTGCTTCTGGGGAGTCAACGATGAGATGCGCTCTTATTATCCCGAAAGAAGCGCAGGTCGGCGATTCCTTTCACTACTTAATCCACACACTACCCCTGTCATGTATGGTCCCAAGTGACGGGATCTACTAAAAGGAAGGACAGGATTGCCCATTGGAAACAATAGGAGACGCTGGAAGACCCATTGGAAATAATGGGAGATGCCAATTGACTTGCATGGGCTCCATTGGAAAACATTAGGGTACAAGTAGAGTTGCAATAAAAATGCGGAATGGATTTTCCATTATGGTCTCCCACTACTCTGGGGAGGGAATGAGAGACCATGGAGTGCAATGACAGCCACAGGATGGAGCAGGAGTGTTCAGGCACTGGGATGAGAGGCCACGGGACCCCAAGGTGGAACAGGAGTGTTCAGGGACTGCCACGGAGTGGAATGACAGCCCCAGGTTGGAGCAGGAGTGTTCAGGGACTGGAATGACAGGGCCACGGAGTGGAATGACAGACCCATGGTGGAGCAGGAGTATTCTGAGACTGGGATGACAGGGACACAGAGTGGAATGACGGCCACAGGGTGGAGCAGGAGTGTTCTGGGACTGGGATGACAGGCTACGGAGTGGAATGACAGCCCCAGGGTGTGCCACGACTGTTCAGGAACGGGAATGACAGGGCCAAGAGTGGAATGACAGCCCCAGGGTGTGCCAGGAGTGTTCAGGAACTGGAATGACAGGGACCCAGAGTGGAATGATAGCCCCAGGGTGCAGCAGGAGTATTCAGGAACTGGAATGACAGGGCCACGGAGTGGAATGGCAGCCCCAGGGTGTGCCAGGAGTGTTCAGGATCAGGAACTGGAATGACAGGGCCAAGAGTAGAATGACAGCCCCAGGGTGCAGCAGGTGTATTCAGGAACTGGAATGACAGCCCCAGGGTGTGCCAGGAGTGTTCAGGAACTGGAATGACAGGGCCATGGAGTGGAATGACAGCCCCAGGGTATGCCAGGAGTGTTCTGGGACTGAGATGACAGGCCCACGGAGTGGAATGACAGCCCCAGTGTCGCGATTGTCCGTCAGCCCAGCTGGAATGCTCAGCAGGATCCCATCCTCGTCACGATTTTTGTGTAGTGGGTTCGACGCATTAGAGATCATGAGACAGCATGATGTGAAACATGGTATTTTACTGGGCACAATAAGAACACGGACTACTGGCCATATGGCCAACTATATACACACCTGGGGACACACCCTTAGGTCCCGTTGGTGGGTTCAAATCTCCCGCCAAGGTCCTATTGGTTCCGAATGGGAGAGACTAGGAGCCTAGTCCCTATTGTTTGTAGATTCAAGCTCAGGAGAATTCACTGTCACCTGGTGGTGGTCAGCGGACATAACACCCATCAAGCTCTGTTAAAGGAATGGGGCTTTTTTTGGGGGGGGGGGAAGCATCCTAGGGTTGTTCCATATGTACATGTGAAAGCTGCACAGGATGTGGGGATTTTGTTCCTAAAGATTAGTTCTTCCTCCACAGGTTTATGGAAATCAAAACAAGATTGGGTGGTGGAAAGTGCCATTAAGTCCAACCTGATTTATGATGTCCCCGTAGGATTTTCAAGGCAAGAGATTATCAGAGGTGGTTTGCCATTGCTTGCCTCTGCATAGCAACCCTGGACTTCCTTGGTGGTCTCCCATCCAGATACTAACCAGGGCTGACCCTGCTTGGCTTCCAAGGTCCAAAATAAATCAAGCAGAGGACACATAAAGGTACAAGTCAGTGTATAGAAGTAGTGATAGAAGTAGGATACTCCTGAGCAACTTGGCATGGTAGGATATGAATACGATAAAAATCTATAGATTTTTCTATTCCCAAGAAAAGAAACAAACACTTGGCACTGAGAACTATCAAAAATGTATTACAGTGCTTACAGAGTCCACACAGTCATTTAACTGTACCTCTCAAACTCACATTTTAATAGTATCAGCTTTTACAGCCAAATTACTTGGAAGTAAGCCCCCCTGAGTTTTATAAAGGATTGTTAGTGCAGAGAATAAAGTATGTTCATCAAGCATTAAAATTCAAAGCCACAATCCTTAAACTTGCAGGCACTTATTGTTGAAAGCTAAGTCAAAAGCACATGAAGCTAAATTAAAATCTTTTTCAGAATGCTAAAATAGAACATTTTAATTGTTTCCAATTATTAATATGTGGACCACTTTATAGTCAAAATACCATTTGTGAATTCTGGGGAGGGGGAGAGCCATAGGTACCACCAAGTACTGGAGTATGAGGTGTCATATATGGGCAGAATGGATGTTAGGTAGCAATAGGTAGAATAAAATCGGGAAAGACATCATAAAAACACTTTATCTAATAGAAAACCATCACAGTAAGTCTTCCCTATTCTAGCCAAGAGTGTACAGTCACACAAAGTACTCAGTACTTGGTGAGAAGGCACTCTTTTGGCTGGAATAGGGAAGACCATATACACTTAACAAGATTTCTTGTACAACTGAGCTTTGTAAATGAGGCTTTTCTTTCACCACAGAGCAAACAGCTGCACCTCAAATCTAGAACAATTCTCCAGTAAACAGTTAATAGTACTTAGGGTTTTTTGTGATTCTGTTGATGCTACAGAACAGTCATTTTTTCTTGCATTTGTTAAATCCAACATTTCAAAATTCAGCATAAAAGCTTTAACATTTAACATGTCAATTAAAATTCAGTTTTAAGAAATCAAAAATTTAATCTTCAAAACAAATGGCTTGAGCCGTCGCCTGTTGTTCCATCTTCTCCACAACATTCTTCAAACGTTCTTTATCTTTAAAAAAGTAAACATATAATTTTCTTTCAATCTGCTGTAACTTATTATTCTCCAAAACCTTCTTCTTAGCCTTTATATCGGCAAGAAAATCCATTATAAGCTGATTTAGTTTATTTAGCTGAAATTCCAGGTGATGAAACTGCTCGGTCAATTCCTAAATAAATGACAGAAACAAAAAATGTTTATATCTCTCCTTATATATAATTGAATAGTGGGTGCCAAAGGTCTAATTCTAAAATGCACTCCCTTAGTGTATGGCTGATGACACTGCTCCTCAGCATATATCGCCACCAATCAGAAGGCAAAGCCCGGGTCCCGCCCACACCACAACTGCTGCGACAACCTGGTCTTTTGCATATGGAAGCTGATTGGACTTCACTCCATTCCACACCTCAAACTCCCCCCCCCCCCCGCAAGGCAGTTGGAATGTCAGTTGCATATGGAACCTGCTGTATTCTGGTGGTGTGCAGGTCCCAGGTTCATGTTTTAAAAGCAGACTGACACTGTTTGCCCAAAGCCAGAGCACTCTCCCAGAGCCTCTTTCTAGCTCCCGTTGTATTTATTTCCACAACGGGCCTTATTTCTAGTAATACTATATATCAGTAAATTGCACACTTGAATTTTAAATCAATTTTAATAAAATCATTTAAATCATTATTTATGTTTCCAGCCTCTTCTCAATTTGCTTCTTTAAATATTAGGCTTTGGGATTCTCTGGAAGCCTGCTTTTATGTTCAATGATCAGGGAGTCTATAGGCAAGGAATCATTTAGGAAGATCACCACCAAGTCTTTTCTTCCTGAACATTCTGAGGGGGAATGGGAAGGCAAGGTGAGCTTTGGAGAGGCAGAAGCAGTCAGAGACACTGAGCTGCTTCTACCTGCCTCCAAATCCCAGGTATACGGATCAGTAGGCACATACACTTCACATGATGAATGCCAAAAATGTGTATGAGATAGAGGCATGGTAGACCAGCACTTGGTGTGGCTGCATGGTTTGGGACATAACAGGAAAGACAAATCACTGGAGAAGGGGGGGGGGGGGGGGGGGAGAGTTGGAAGCCAGAGCATGAGCACTAAAAGCCTCAGGTGCCAGAAGAGTAGAAGGGCAAGGAGAAAGGGCTAACCGAGTCCAGGATGCCATTCATCAGGGTCATTGCCACAAGCTACCTAATTTTTGGAGGCCTGCCATAGAATCTTGATAGCTTGCTGCTAACTTCCAGGAAACTGACTATCTGCATATTTAAGATAAATGTTTTGACAGGTTTCCCGATTCTCATCTTGTTTGTTTACCTGGTTACTAAGACAGACCCCATCTCCTCTGAAGTACATACACTCATGAAGGGTAACTAAATCAGCATCCATCTTTGACAGAAGAAGAGTTTGCTCTTGATTCAGCACTGTTGATTGATCAAGAATTGACTTTGTGTCTAGATGCAATTTTTCAGCCATCTTCTGAAGGCCTTCATTGGTTCTGAACAACTGTTTTGCATTCTTTCCTTCCAGAAGCTGATACAACCTTCAAAATATAAAAGTGCAAGTTAAAAACAAGACTTGCTGAGATACAAAACAAGCTGATAAAAGCCTATTCAAGATCTGTAACACAACAGAAACAGAGTTTTGGCAAAGCAGTACACATGCAACAGGTTTTCTTGATGACTGGACTCACTCATTTTAAATCCAAGTATTCTGGCCTACATTGTTGATCAGAGTGATAACACACAAACGAGGAATGATTGGGTTGGACACAACAATCCCTCAACAGAAGGCACTGTCAGGTATCTTTCCCTGATATCCCATCTGAAGCCAATTGTCAGGGTTGATATACACTTTTGCCATCCACACCAAGAGGGTGCCATGGGGTGTGTATGTGAAATTGTCCTGATTCCATCAGTGTAGCTGTGCTTGCTGTGTTCTGTCCACAGCGCAGCCTTGTGACCCACATGGCTACTGCAACTCTAGGAAGCCACTTTCCTGGGGTCCGAAGGGGCTGTTAGTGGAGGAGGAAGGTAGTAAAAAACTCCAGTACTTGTATCAACATATCACAGGGTCCAATCAATCTACAGAATGGGACACTGGACTTACTGTGAAGGTTCCTTCTTCTTGAGGGCGAGAAGGACACTCTGATACACTTGGGTTCCTCTTTCCACAATCCCTGGAAGCAGGAAATTGATTGCATTTTCCATCTCCGGGGGGGAGGAGGACCCCACCCTCAGTCTGGAGACTTCTGCAGCTGATAACAGTCCACAATGTGTGCCAAACAGATAGACAACAAGGCTTACAGAACCTTATGAAACAAACCATACAGGTATAGATAAACTGTCAGAACACTGAAAGAACAGTGAACGGAGATTGGCAGTCAGTCCCTTTAGGAAGTGTAATAGGCTGAACAGAGACTCTCCAACTAGGGTGGGTCAAGACTGTCCTCCTCGCTCTTGAGAAGAAGGAACCTTCACGGTAAGACCAATGTTCTGTTCTCTCTTGAGTGGAGGACACTCTGATACGCTTGGGATGTTACAAAGATCACATGATCCAGAGTGGGAAAAAGTGACTGCCAAGCATAGAGATAACAGTAGGATTAGACCACTTGCTGTAGGACTCACTGCCCAAATGCTGCAGCAGCCACAGCAATAAGAATCCATCTCGTAGTGCCTGATAAATGTTGACACCGAGGCCCAGTTAACAGCCTTGCAGATATCAGCAACAGATGCATTTGTGTTGAACACTGCTGACGCAGAAGCACTTCTTGTTGAATGAGCTGTAATCCCCTCTGGGGAATCCCCCCGAGATTCATATGCCAAGGAGATGCAGTTCTTTAGCCACCCGCTTAATGTAGCCTTAAAAACCCATTTCCCCTTGACTGCTGGATGAAAAGCCACAAAAAGGGAATCTGACTTCCTGAATGGCTTGATCCTTCTGGTATAATTGTGAAGTGCTCTGCAAAGGTCAAACGAGTGCCAATTCTTTTCCCTAGGATGAGATGGCTTCAGACAGAAGGACAGTAAATATATATCCTGTGAGCTGTGAAAAGGTGTGTTGATCTTGGGAATGAAGGTGGGATCTGTGCACAGAACCACCATATCCTTATGGAAGATGCATAAGCCCTTTCTGATGGAAAGAGCACCTATCTCTGAGACCCATCTTGCTGATTTAACAGCTACCAGGAAAAGTACCTTCAGGGTAAAGAACTTCAGGGAAACCTCCCTCAGAGGCTCAAATGGAGGACTGCTTCGAGCCTGAAGAATGACATGGTCACCAAGAGGCAAACCTGTGCATTGTAGGGGGCTGAGACAAAGTAACTCCCTTCAGAAATTTCTTCACTGTTGGGTCCTGGGAAAGTGGTGCACCGCTAACTGACAAAACTACAGTGCTCAAAGCAGCTACCTGGTAATGGAGAGTGCTTGCTCTTAGACCCCGAGAGACTCCATCCTATAGGAAGGACAATACCTGAGGAAGATCCAGGGTGTCTGGTTGCAGCGTTTCCTCTTGCACCATCTGACAAAAGCCTTCCAAGAACTGTTGTAAATTCTAGAAGTGGCGCTTCTCTGAGCAGCCATCATGGTCTGAGTGACCTGATCAGAGAAACCCTGTGCGATCAGCGTTTGTTGCTCAATCTCCATCCTGTCAGATGAAGCCAAGCTGGGTTTGGATGACAGATGGGACCATGGTTTTGTATACTGGGCAACAGTGGAAGTTCTTATGGAGGTTGAACTGATGATTTCAACAGGCTGGAAAACCAAGGTCTCCTGGGCCAGAAAAATCAACTCTGCCTTCTCCTGTTTCATTTTGTTCAGAACCTTTGGAATCAAAGGTATGAGGGGAGGGCCAAGGGGACATCAGAGCCCAATGGCCAAGGGGACATCAGAGCATCCACTTGTTCTGCTTGTTGACACTAGTGTCTTGAGAAGAATCTGGGTGTCTTGGCATTGGTTGGGGAGGCAAACAGATCTACTAATGATAGGCCAAAATGCAGAACTAGGGACTGGAATGTTTCCTGGCTGAGGGACCGCTCCCCTGGTCCAGCTTGGTGAGGCTGAACCAATCTGCTTGAATATTCTCTATGCCGCTGATGTGTTCTGCTCTGAGAGAAGCCAGATGTTGTTCTGCCCAGGACATGAGGATAGTTGACTTTTGCTGTAGCTTCTTGGCTTTGGTGCCTCCTGGTAGTTCACATGAGCCTTGGCCACGGTGTTATCTGTCCATATACATATGTTCAATTGAGACAGATGGTCTTGGAAGTAGAGAAGTGCCAGACAACCTGCACCCAGTTCCAAAAGATTGATGCTGAGGGAAGCTTCTTCATGGGACCAGGTCCCCTGCACATGGCCCAGTGCACAATGGGCTCCCAAACACATGAAGCTGGCATCTGTTGTGATCTGTAGGTCTGCAGTCACTTGGAAGGGTTTGCCCACAAGTGAGTGTTTCTTGGTTGTTCACCAAAGGAGGTCCTTCCTGAGATGCTGACTGATGCTGACTCTGATGTGCTTTTGGAGGGCTATGAACCTTTGATATGGCAATAGTATGAGAGTGTGCCCGGGTCCAAAAGAATGTCTCGATAGCTGCAATCAGTCATGTAACCTAGCAGACGTGCTAGGGTCATCAAGTCCATTGATTTCACTGACCCTGTTTCAGGGTCTGAACGGTCTTCTCTGCTCTATCTAGTGGAAGAAACACTTTAAAAAAAAATTGAATCTATCACTGAGCCCAAATGCGTGATGACTTGGGCAGGTGTTAGTTGGCTCTTCTGGAGGTTTATTAGGAAGCTGTGACTGGATAGTGTCCTTAATGTCCCTGAGTGCCTGCTCTTGTGAAGGTCATCTTAAAGAAGGTTGTTGAGGTAGGAATGGATATGGATTCCTTTGAGACACAGGCTTGAAACAAGTGAGATGGATCAGTTTTGTGAATATCCAGAGTGCTGATGCCAACCCAAATGGCACGGCCCTAAACTGGAAGTGTTTTTGACCTAAGGTGAATCTCAGATACTGTCTGTCCCAAGGTGTTATGGGCATGTAAAGATATGCTTCAGTCAAACTGATGGAGTCCATGAAGTCCTCCGGCTGCAGGGCTTCCACAGTGGTCTTCAAGGTCTCCATTTTAAATTTCCTGTACCTCACGAACCTATTCAGGAATTTGAGGTCAAGGACAGCCCTCCAGTCCCTGTTCTTTTTGGCAACTATGAAAAAAATAGAATAAATGCCTAAGAGCCTATGGCACAGGTTCGATGGTGGTGATCTCCAGCAGATGTCTGAAGGCATCCTGTGTGCACGGTCTCTTGATGGGGCAGTGACGGACTGGTGAGCTCAGGAATCTGTCGTAAGGTGGGGTGACAAATTCCATTGAATAGCCATAGGTTATGATTTATTTTACCCATTTGTTGGTGGCTGATTAATTCCAGGCTTGATGGGATTTTTGAAGCCATCTCCCCACCAGAGCTAGCCTGGTGTCAATTTTGTTGTTGCTGCTGTTTTTCTTCCTTACTGGAGGCTGGTGCTTGGCCTGAACTGTAGTATTGACTTGTGGCTCTGAAGTTAGGCTTGGATTTGGTCCACAACTGCCGCGATTTGCAGCCTATGGCTCGCGGCAGGACGACTGGGCAAGTGGGTTTGCAGGGATTTCCTACTCCACTACCTGGGCATCACCTCCCCCAGCTCTCCCTTGGAGGAGGTCCCATGGCTGGAGACCTCAGCTGCAAGCATCACCATGACTGAAGCAGGAGGCAAAAGGCAAACAGCCTCAGGAAGACAAGGCCAGAGGAACAAAGTTTGTTTAAACAAAGGGAAAGGCACACATGGGGAAAGAGAAAAACAAAGTGCAACCAAAGGAGCTCATCAGATGGAAAATCTAAGGAGCTCTCTAAATCCACTGCTCTCTCAGGCGGAGGGAGGAAAAAAACTGAGGGTGGGCTCCCCCCCCCCCTCCGGAGATGGAAAATGCAATCAATTTCATGCCCCCCAGGGATTGTGGGAAGAGGAACTTGAGTGTATCAGAGTATCCTCCTTCCCTCGAGAAGAAAAAAACATTGATTTTAATTGAATTTTCTTCTATGTAATGGTTTAAAGAAACCACTGGGGGAGGTAATCTGAAGATTTGACCTGGATTGTCACCAATATTAACTCAGCTCTATATCACACTTCCAGCTGATCCCAGGAAGGCTGTAGAAACCCTGAACCAGTAATCAGAGGCAGTTTTGGAGTGGATGTGGGCTAATAAACTGAATTTTAATCCCAGTAAAATGAAGTGCTACTAGTAAGCAGAAGGTCTGACCTGGTACTTAAAGTGTCACCCAATTTGGATGAGGTTGCAGTCCCCTTGAAGGAACAGGTCTGTAACTTGGCAGTGTTCTGGAGTCAGGCCTACTGCTGGATAAGCAGCTGTGGCCAGGAATGTCTTCTACCAGCTTCAACTGGTTCTCCAGTGCAGCCCTTCCTAGGCAGAAAAAAACCCTCTGACCACTGTAGCACATATCCTGCTTACATCTAGATTAGATTATGCAATGCACTTTAAACAGGGCTGCCCTTGAAAACTGTTCCCAAACTTCAATTGGTGTAGAATACTGCAGCCAGGTTATTGACTAGTGAGTCACAGGGACCATATCACTTCAGTCTTCGCCTGTCTACACTGTTTCCCAGTCAGTTTCTGGGTACAATTTAAGGTGGTGGTGTTGACCTTTAGAGCCCTCTATGGTTTAGGACCACTGTACCTGAAGGGCCACCTACTCTCTTAAGAACCTACTTCACCACTGCATGATTTACGGTAGAACAAAACCTACTCATCTTTGGAGGCCCAGCTTTGGGTGCCCCCTCCCTTCTGAGATTAGGCAGATGGCAACGCAGGAGTGGGTCTTCATGGTCATGACAGCAAGACTACAGAACTCTCCTCACGGAGACTTGTCTGTCTCCTTCTGATGCCACCTCTCACCAAAAGGTGAAGACTTTTGTCTGCAGTGCCCTCTGTGATCCCTCCTTCTTGTCTTATGTTTTAATTGTTGTTTTTATATGCATATTTTAGCTTTGGATTTGATTTTTAATGATGTATTTTTGTTTGGTTTTAATGGTTTTTAAGATGTTTTTATTAAGTTGTCAATCTGTTAATGGCCTTGGTGGTCCTGACCAGGGTAGAAAGGTAGGGTATAAATTATGTAAAAAAAAATTAAATGTCAGTTTTACACAATATGCTTTACAGTCCACATTTTAACACAGAATTTCACAGCACAACAGCAGTTGCTTACCTATGTGTAGCATTATCTCTTGAATCAATAGTGCTTCTTGGTATTCTGTACTGGGATATAGATGGCTCAGACATTGTTTCTAGCGTCTGCTCCAAAATGTTACTGCTTTGCTTCAAATCTTGAATCATTTTGTCCAGCAGATGGCTGTTATCCCTAAGTTTTCTCAACTCAATTTCATAAGCCAACTGAAGAACTTCAAATGATGCCTTCTGTTTGAGCAACTGATTACAAATCTGGTCTTGTCTTGATGTGTAGTAGTCCTGCCGAGCAATCTGTAGATCAAAATCGCCTTTCACCACAGGCATATTCAATAACTCTGCATCTTCCTTTACTAGTGAAGGTAGAGTTTCACTGTTTATCTGCGCCAACTGCTTTTTTGTTTTTGAGATTTCACTGTTCAAGCTAGAAATTCTAGCCTCAAAATTTTCTTTTCTGGGAGTCTGGGGAAAAAACACACCAGATCCTGTAAACCATACACTTTAGTCTGTACTCATACATCTATCAAACCCAGCTTATCACTATGAACTTCTTTTTACAGGGAGATAGCATTCAGGTTTTATTCAAGATTTAAGCATTATTCTAGGATCCGTTCCTATGAAGAGATATACAAAGAATTCTAATGAAGGGTTGATAATGAACATGTATTCTTATAGCCAAAACCCATTATAACTAATATAAATAAATATATTCCTAGAGAAGCTACCATAAAAATGAATGTTTAGCTCATAAAGGAGATTGAGGTTTGGAAGAGCTGCCATGAAGGAACTAGAAAAGATCCTTAAGTGTAAGGAAGTGTTGAGGAGACCAAGATCAAGATATACTGTGGTGATACCCATAACTATGTGTGGACGTGAAAGCTGGACAGTTAAGAAAAGGGACAGGGAAAGAATTGATTCATTTGAAATGTGATGCTGGGAGTAGAGTTTTACAGATACTATGGACTGCCCAAAAGACCAATAAGTCAGTTTTAGGTCAAATCGAGCTAAGATGACAAAACAGAGCAATCCTAAGCAGGTCTACTCAGAACGCTACTCGTATCTACTCAATGGGGCTTACTCCCAGGAAAGTGTTCCTAAGATTGCACTGTAAATTGAGGCTATTGTACTTTAGTCACATCATAAGAAGACAAATCTCCCTGGAAAAGATAATAAAGCAAGGAAAAGTTGAAGGCAGTATGAAAATACGACATGAGATGGATTGATTCAACAAAGGAAGCCACAGCCTTCAGTCTGCAAGGCTGTTAACAAAGGATGTTTGAGAGGTCATTAATTCACAGGCCCACCATAAGTCGGAAGCAACTTGATGGCACGTAACACACAAAACTCATAAAAAGAGACAGTTTATTAAGCACAAGAAACAACTGAAATTATTAACTACACTACATTCTGTTCTTTGGGTCCATATAGTGGCCCTAAAACAAGCTGTGAATTTTAACAAGCAACAGGACTTACCACCTTATTTAAAGAGCAAATATGATCCTCTGCCCACTGAAGAGCTGATCTCATGCTTAGATCCCTAGCTTTCTGCTGAATTAGTTGATGCTGAGCACAAACATAAGCCATCTGCAGCCTGGTAAGCTCAAGCTGCTCCTCACAAATGTCATTGCTCTCAGTGTCTGTGAACGAACTTCTTATATCAACAAGCTGAAACTTCTCTTCATTTGAACTTTCAACCAACTCAGATATTCCTTGGAAAAATTGTTTTTTTGTATATAGAGTAAGTGCTGCAGTGCTTTGTTCTTCCTGGCACAAGTATTCATCCAAGGGAAGCTGGGCTAACAGCACAGGCTGAGGGTCCAGCCCTTTCTGCCTGGATTGAACAGCGAAGAAAGAAATCAGCTTCTGAACTCGTTCAATAAGAGACTTCAGCTCATTATTTATCTTTGTATTCATGGCAGTGAACACTATCTGTCCATCTTTCAGGCTTTTAGCGGTTTCCTCTTCTGTCTCTTTAAGCTTCAGTGACAGAAGGCTATTGGTTGAAGTAATTGCTTGAAGCGTGTTACGGCGACGGATCTTTAGATTTTTAATCTTTTGGAGTGCCTGAAGTTCATCTTCTAACGCTTTAAGATTTTCTTCTTCAAAATTACTGGTGTTCAGATCAAGGGGCCTACAGGTCTTAAGAACTTCATCCAGAGCCTCTTCTTCTAGCACAGGCTTTGCAGAGTTAAGGAGCGTGTTAAATGACTGCAGTTCTTCTTCAGATAAGGCATGATGCTCATTCAGATTTGTACAAAACCACTCAAAAAATGATTTATCTTCCAATGTCTCAAACAACCAATCAAAGTCTTCTCCATTAAGAGAAGCTGCCTCTGAATAACCTATCCTCTTCAGAGTTTCAACAAACTGAGTTCCACAATTCATGGTTCAAGGGCAGCCTACAACCTTGGATACTAATGGATTTGCTAGCAGGCCTCTGAAGTATTCACAGCAAACAAAGGTAGTACTTTCTCTTAGTGATCAACTTTAAGTCTCTGCAATGAAAAGCAAAATACAAATATAGTACTGTAAATTCCTAGACAATTTAGAATGTCAACACTAGTAATAAAAACCTGTAATTATCTAACAAATAGCAAAACAACACAGTATTACAGTGAATTATTTAATTAAAATGTCCCTGATCCTCAACATGGCACCTCCCGGTATATTTCCTGGTACTCAAATTGCTTCTTGAGTACTGGGGATATAACCCCAGAGATCTTGAATCAAGGGGAAGGGGTGGGGGGAGAGGAAACTTCAGGTTACTAGCAAAGAGCTATGCTCATTTGAGGCAAGGGCACCACAACTGTCTGCCCTCATTTGGCTATAGATACAGACTTTCTTCTTTCCTGCCCTGGAAACCTCTTTACAGGTCCACCTGTCTCTGAAGCCAAATCTAACTATGCTGTGCAACAGGTTTAAACTTCAAAAGTATAGGTAGGTCAATGAAAATATTTCTTCACCACAAATATCCACAATCCATCACTTCATAATAAGATTTAGAAAGGTGGGAAGGTGGACTCCCTGCAGTCCGGTACTGATTTATTTTCATTTCCTAGAAAGCCACTCTATATGGATGGAAGCAGGGGTCATTTTGTAGAAAAAGAGGTGCAGGAGCTCAATAGAATAACTCATTAGCATAACTCATTAGCATATGCCACACACCCCTCACATCACAGGAAGTGTGTCAGAAGGTGGGAGAACTTGTACCTGAATAAGCCTTGGTCATAAAGGTGCCACTGGACTCTGTGCAATGCTACCTGGGGGCGGGGGGCGGACATGCAGATCTGCCCTCACAGAGACCTTCTACCTGAATAAGCCTTGGTCTTAAAGGAGCCACTGGACTCTTTGCACTGCTACCTATGGGGGGGGCATGCAGATCGAGAAGGGCTTTGCCGAGCTCCGCAACCTGAATAAGCCTTGGTCTTAAAGGAGCCACTGGACTCTTTGCATTGCTACCTATGGGGGGGACATGCAGATCGAGAAGGGCTTTGCCGGGCTCCGCACTTTAGCATGGGCCTGGCAAGACGGGTTGGGAAGAACTTTCCAAGGTCTGGAAAGGCGGCGGGGGTGGGGGGAATCCACAACTTAGTTTATTTCTTCTTTCTCCTCCCAGCCAACTGAATGGAGGGCTGCTGGGAGCAGGGGGCAGGGCTTGCTACATGTCCCCGCCCCCTTGCCTCCTGTCTCCAGGAGTGTCACTCCGATAAGCTCCGGGCCAAAACGAGGCCTGGATGGAAGCCTCATTGTTTGCTGAATTAGGTTAGTTACCCAGTGATGAGGATAAAGCAGTCTCACTTTCTGCTTCATTTAGCCAAGGGTAATTGTGCTGAAAAGATTCCACAACTCAGCCAAGACACAGATTGTAAGCCTCAGTAACTCTTATTTTAGAAAAGAAGCACCTAACATATGAGGATTTTAATATGAGACTTATTTTCTAAGGTTTTTCCTTACTGCGATGCTTTACTAGTTCTTTAACAGATTCTAAGGCTACATCGTTAATACATTTCAAGCCCTTACTTAGCCATGACACTCACCTTGGGGAAATCACATGCTTTCTCTCTCAATATAACCTGTTTTCAGGGCAACATGGAAAAGAGGAGAACCTGAGCTCCCTGAAAGAAGAGTGAAATATAAATGAAATTGAATTAAGTTATTTATTTGTTCCCTATTCATCCTGTTTTAATCTATTAACAGAGAGCTGGCTAGATTACCTGCCTTAGCTAGATCTTTTACGCTTTTGACTGGATCTCATTTCCTTTTGTGCTCTATCTAATCCTCCAGAGTAGCTTGATCTTTTCCCTCATTTTGTAAGAACACAAAGTTCCCCTATACTGCATCAGAGCACTGGTATATCAATTAAAGTACTATTTACTCTGGCAGTGGCTCTCCGGGGGTAACAGGCAGAGATCTTTCACATCACCTGATACTGGGGTTGAACTTCAGTCCTCCTGCATGCAAAATAGTTGCTCTAACACTGAGCCACAACTTTCTTCATATCCCCTTCCTTCATATCTCAGTGCTAGTAATGCCAGGATGGTGGCCCACATCCCTGGGAGCTTTAGAGGTGGAGCAAGGGGTAGAAATGACAGGGCACAATGTGTGACATCACACCCAGCCAAAACCCCAGAAGTGATATAACCACCTTGGGTTTCAAAAACTCCGTGGCAAGTACAGAGTGTCACCTGATGTGCTTTTTTTGGGCCGGGTGTGAGGTCATCATTTCCACCCCCAGACCTTGCTGATCCAGAGAAGAGTGGGAGGGAGGGCCCAACAGTAGGAGCCCTCCTGCCATAACCCTACTTTGCAGTCACATTTTCAAAGGAAGAAGAGCAGTTATTACTTAACTGTACGAGTACACCTTGGTGATACCTAACGTCTATTTTATGTAATATATTTCATATTTCGGTCACTTAATTCAAAACAGTTTTGAAAACAATGGCCTACAACACTATATAAAAGGAGAAAGGAAATTCAGGTACCCTGAATATTTATATACCCCCCCCTTAAGCTTAAATAATATCTTCTGCACGCCGTGTAATTGGAAACTACATTCTGAGTCTTATTCATGAACCAGCAACATCTTTTTCTCGTACCGTTTGTATCTTACACCCATTTTGCTTAACATCCAGTCTAGGGGAATCAGCGATAAGGCAGGGGCGTTTTCCCCCCATTTGCTCGCTTAGGAATTCGCTATAACATTTAAGCGACGGTAAGAAAATTAAAGGGGGCATTTAAGAATTTAAACAACATAAAGGTCAAATTTAAGTAATCCGATGTAAAAACTGCCTCCTCGGCAGACGCTAACTCGGCAGTAAGTGCCGTTAAATTTACCTCCGAGTGAAACGACCCAAAACTGCACGAACTGACCTGAACGACACGAGGAGCCGCCGCCACCCCCAGGCGCTCGGCCGTGCCCCGAATGGCAGCAGTTGGTCGCAGAGGATGTTTGGCGCGAAGGCGAGCCCCCCCCCCCCCGGTTGCGCTTCTCAAAGTCTCGCGATGGCTGACACGGAGCTGCCCGACATGAAGATGTACAAAAATAAAACTACGAAATATAACTAGATATTTGACACTAAATTAAAAAAATCTGTTTGTGCCTCGAATTATAGCTCTTCACAATGAATCCGCTAAGCACGAGACGTCTATTACCTTAGAACGACAGTGTGAGGACTACATTTCCCGGTAGAACTCGCACTCCCGGAAATCAACGACCGGTTTTTTTATTTCAGGTCAAGAAGATGACAACCAACACGGAAGGCACGATGCATACATTACCAATCCTACGGAGATTAAAAATTAGCACACACACCCCTTTCCAATAATATAATTGCATCAAAATCCTTTTATTAGTTTTTGTCTCTTGTTTTGTAGTACCGTCATGCGGAACTGCGCTCAGTTAGACTGAGCGTGTGCAGTAAGAGATACTGAAACTGCCCTCCCTTAGGTTGGCTTTAAGGAATTGATAAGATTACGTAGGGCTGTTCCCGGAAACTGTGATCCATGCCAGTAACGTCGCTAAATCTCGTTCATAGAAGAAAAGTGAATCTTGTGCCTCTGCTAAGGAGAGGCCAGTCAGCAAAAGCAGTTTTTATTTTAACCTTTTGTTAAAGGTAAAGGTACCCTTGCTCGAAAGCCAGTCGAATCCGACTCTAGGGTTGCGGTGCTCATCTCCGTTTCAAAGCTGAAGAGCCAGCGCTGTCCGAAGACGTTTCCGTGGTCATGTGGCCGGCATGACTAAACACCAAGGCGCACGGAACGCTGTTACCTTCCCACTGAAGTGGTACCTATTTATGCTCGGTTGGCAGGAAACCTTTTGTTAAGACCACCCAAAATAACTCAACATACTGCACAGGTTTTCGAGATATCCAGAACTATCCTTCAAAACGATAATAAAATATAAAAAGGTCTGGAGAAAACAAAGATCTTTCAAGCCTGATGAAAAGTGGTGAAGAAATCGAAACCTTGCACGCTACACTGTTATTTTTTTTAAAAAGACCAACTCCGCCGTTAGACTGGCATTTATCTTGGGACTTTGCTATCTATGGCTCGTATTCTTTTGGGAGTGCAATAGGTCCTTATGTCGAAAATAACCAGGAAATCCGGCCAGTAAACAAAAGAACCGTCAATCCAGCCCTTTGTTACATCTGTTACGATCTAGCACGCTCCCTTGGCAGCTAGTCAACTCTTTCTGCGCTTGCGCTTGGCAAACCGGAAGCTCATGCTTGTGACCCAGCGGAAGTGGTTTGGCGGGGCGGTTGGCCCGGCAGGAACCGAACGGGGGGGTTGCGAAGCTGCCCCGTGAATATCCTCGGGCGCTGGCAGGGCGGAGGTGAGTATGAGCCCGAGAGAGTGTGCTAAACGCCTCCCGCCTTCTGTGTTGTGTGTGTCTGCTATGAGGTTGAGGTTCCCTGAGTGTTGATGGCCCGGAGCTACGGGAAGGAAAAGAGTTCTTTCTGTGTCCTAACCGTAGATAGGCACGAAGCGTCCCGGAACCCAGTGTCTTCTGTGCGGCGTTTTCTTTTCTTGTCTAAAACGCAGAGCTGAAGCACAACTGCTTTCCATTTTTGCTCCCTCCCCTTCAGGGAAATCCCTTCGCCACCTTATGCAATAGATTGGACTGTTCTCTGAAAAACACCCACGACAGTTCCAGCCCTACGTTCTTCCCACCCCCGTCTCCTCCGGAAGACCTCAGCGCGTTGCATATACCCCCCCCCCCCCCAATTGTATTTTCTGTGAAATTTCTTACGTCTTACAGGTCCACTCCAGGCGTAACCGACCTTTCTCTCATGAGTTCCATCTTACATCTATAATGTACATCTATAATGTTTCGTCACGGAACACAAGATTCTCTTAGTTTTAGGCTTCAGCATGATTGCTGTATCATGTAATGCGCCTTCTCACTATATTCTACAACTGATTACTTCTCTTTGGTATCCAGTGTCATTTGTCGAGACACTTTGCTTATATGTCTTCTTTTCCCGAATATTGTGTGGGTACTTCATATCCTTTTTTCTAATAGTTTTATATTTTAGATAAAGAGACTGCCTGAAGGGTAGGTTTTTTTGTAGCTTAGACATCAACCTGTGGCATGCAGGTAACCCTTAACTTTTGGGGGTTTTTAGTGTTCTGCTTTTCTGCTTGAAAGTTCTGCGGTCAATAGGACTTAGTAGCGTACATGAAGACAATCAGATTCAGTAGAAAACTTTTTAAAATTACAGAACTTGATAAGGCTTTGAAAATTATTTCATGCAGCTGTGTCATGACAGAATGTTTCCACATACATTCTTAACAGTTTGAGTCATTATTTTGCTGATGTGGAATAGGCAAAAATAGAAGTGCAACTTAGAAGAAAAGGTGGGTTTGTTTGTGGGAACATGAGGCCGCAGCTGTAGATGATGGAAACAGAGAAGAGTTATTGGGTACAGAAAAGGAGAGTGAAGGGGACAGTGAGATCACCTATAGAGTGGTTTTATTTGTGGGTATGTTTTTGAAAATATATGGATATATATTTGTAGATATATGGATACTCTTGTCTACTTCCATCACAACTTCCATTGCCACAGAGGCAAAACAATCTTTAATTTGATTACCATTTTGCAGTGTTGGGATACTGGTAAATTGGCCAGTCAGAGATTGTCAATTAACAATTTATTTGGCTTTGGTCCAAAAGTCTGTGAATTCTGTTATTCCTTTGTATACATAGCAGTCCACATTTTGAGTTACATCAAATGATTTAATAATTAGGGTGAAGTTAGTCAGATTTACAGGATCCAGGATATGCACACATCCTCTTCATTTAGGAACAGACCTCAACGTCCTTTATAATCACATTTTAAAACAAACTCTTGCTTTTTATAGTTTTGATTTAAAACTAAACTTGTAAATCCTGGAATTCAAGGCTAGAAATAAACAAAAAAAACCTGTTCAGTTTCTGTAACAGCAAAGTTTTATGGAGAAAGAAATCATGTGCTGCCTGAGACTGCTGTGTTTTTTGTTTTGTTTTTTAGCAGAGCTGACCTCTGTTTCCCCTGAGCTGCCTGGAAATAAACAGCGCATAATTATATTCCAGCTATTGCTATAATAAAGCATTTGGTTTTTCTGCAAGGACTGTTTGGAATAGAGCTGACTGGGCCTTTCTCTTTCTCTTGTGCAGTCTGGAAGTAAGTAGGTAATGGTATTCTGGCCATCAGTGTAGTAAAGCCTTTATTTTCCTGCCTGATTGTCCTACTTAGCATTTGACAAAAGACATTTCAAACAGTTTTCTGTTCACTTAAGTAGTAAGTTTCACTCTAGGTGTTTGTGAGAGTAGACATTGTAAATTTAAACAGGAAAGGCTTCCTAGTGTGTGCTGACAATATATTCATTTTTTCACATTCAGTTTTGGACCTTTTAGTTAGAAAGAACCTGATTGTCAGGTATAAAAAAAAATATGGGGAAAACGGTGATACTTGTTCAGTGCATCTTGAAAACAGTGTATCTGTCACCAGCAAATCGAAGTAAATACCTAATCATACATTTTTCTTAGCGAAATTCCTGGATGACATATTTGAAGGCAATAATGCTTGAAGTAGAAAGTTCTGCTCATGTATTCTGTATATTGCATGTTTTGGATGCAGAGCTATTTTGGTTTACCAATGTAGTCAAATCCCACTTGCTTTATTTAGCTTGATGGTTTATGAAATGTGCTTATTTGATTTGTTTGTACTGTGATCAGTAGTTATTTAGAATGTCCTCTTTATGATTCCACATCCTGAATTTAACAAGAAATAGAAACTGCCACTAAGGAACTAGCTCTGTATCCTAGCTACGCTGCTGCTGCTTTCTGCCCTGCCCCCTCCCACTTGGTGAATTTATGCACTGTTAAATTCAACAAAGCTGTTGACTGTCATTGCTTCTAGATAATCTGCAGAACTGCTGGTGCCTACTTTGCTTTGTGATAGCTTGAGAACAAAGTTGGTGCCAGCTGATCTGCCTGCAGATCCTTGTGATTGGGAATCAGTAGGTAGAAGGTAAAAATGTGTTAGCAAATATTCAGTGGGGAAAGGAGCAGAGAACGCTGGTTCTTTCCTTTACATCTGGGGTAGCCATGAAAGCCTTGTTGGGTGTTGCTATGATACTTTGCATACAAATGTACATTCAGGAAACCAATATCCTGCTGCCCTTGTCTGGTAACAACAGTAAGGCAGCTCTAGTCTTTTATTCCAGATGCTCTCCCTCAAATATATGGGGAGTTCAAACCAGTATAATTTTTTTAAAGCTGGAAAAGGGAGAAGATCAACAGGATTGTGATGAACTGTGCTACATATCTACCCCATAAAACAACATGAAAAGTAAACCTGGTGAATCTTGAGAGAACTAAATTAGTTACAACTAAATTATAACAAAAATGATGGGTTCACACTCCTCCCATTGCTTATACATGATTACCTAATATCCTTTTACTCATTTGGTCCCTGCCTTTTGAATACTTATATAATTTGTTGGTTATTAGTATGCTACAAACAAGGGACACACAAGTACTTGTGGGGCTGTCATTTTATTCCCCCCTCACGCTATTTTCTTTCTTCCCTCCCTGAAAGCCCCATAGCTTTTTCCTGAGTCTGTCTCTCTTTCATAGACACAACCTACCTTTATCTTTACCAAAGTAAAATATACATGATAAAATCATATCTTAACAACTATTAAAGCCAACAAAACATATAATTAATACAATTAAAATCAGAGCTAAAATACATAAGAAAACAAAACACGGCAGGAAGGAGAAATCACTGAGGGAATGCCAAATAAAACAATAAAGTCTTCCAACTCTGGTGGAAGATGGCAATAGAAGAAGACTGATAAGTCTCCCTAAGCGCGGAGAGTTCCAGAGTGCCACAACTGAGAAGGCCCTCTCCTGGATAACCACCAGCCTAATCTTAAAAGGTGGGGGCCTCCAAAGATGACCATAGTGGTGGGGTAGGTTTGTCAAAAAGTAAGCAGTTTTAGGTTAAGTTTAGGGTATGGCTTGGTTATGTGCCTATGGGGTATGAATTGGACATGGGATATATAGTTTTGGTAGCCACAGCATACATAGATGGGCATACCCTTGTACTGGAGGGATTCTTGAATGACCTTGGCTTCAATTCTGGGCTGGTGATTAAAGAATTTTCAAAGAATGGCATCTCCATTCAATCTAGTAATCTGGCACTGTAAACATAACCACAGTTAAATTCAAACAAGACTTGGCGTCCTCTATACAAAGTTAGTGACCTTCTTAGATTTCCACCTAACCGTGTTTGCTTTTAGTAATGAACTTGAGTAAGTATGTACTTTTCTATTTGTTTCCAGTTCTTATTGCAAAAACTGCAGAAGCAAAGAAACAACTATTTGATAAGAAATGGGTAAGTACTTTGAAAATTAGTTTTGAAAAGCATCTTGGTATATATGTTTAGGGAACTGCTTTGCATTTGAGAACATAAGAGAAGCCAATGCTGGATCAGGCCAATGGCCCATCCAGTCCAATACTCTGTCACACAGTGGCCAAAAATACAGGTGCCATCAAGAGGTCCAGCAGTGGGGCCAGGACTCTAGAAGCCTTCCCACTGTTGCCCCCCCCCCCAGCACCAAGAATACAGAGTATCACTTGCCCCAGACCGAGAGTTCCTATCGATACCTTGTGGCTAATAGCCACTGATGGATCTCTGCTTCATATGTTTATCTAATTCCCTCTTGAAGCCGTCCATGCTTGTAGCCACCACCACCTCCTGTGGCAGTGAATTCCATGTGTTAATCACTCTTTGGGTGAAGAAGTACTTCCTTTTATCTGTTCTAACCCGACTGCTCAGCAATTTCATTGAGTGCCCATGAGTTCTTGTATTGTGAGAAAGGGTGTGCCAGTTGATAGAAACCCACTTTGGTACAAATTAGTAGAATGTCTACAATATACTGGAAAATTCACCAGAAGGAATGGGGATTATGAGATGAACAAATAGATTCAAACTGCTATAAACATTATTATTGTAATCTACAGTGTATATAGTGTTGAAATTGTGTGTATTCTTAAAGGTTAGAGGTTTTTAAATAGATTCTGATGCTGATGAGTTTGACAGTACAATCCTATTAAGTGTTACTCCAGTCTAGACTCACTGATGTAAGTCTGCATAGGATATTCTTGTACTGTTATTTTTCTACATCTGATACACACAGTAACAACCCATTAGGAATTTAGCAGCAGCTGTTTACATTGATGTTTAATGCAGTTCAGTCTATAATGGAAATAAATGAAATCTCTTTATATGAAGTTGTTCATATGGGTTAATATATCCGCTCCATTTTATATTCATTTAATAAGAATGGTAAAGGATTCAGTTAGTTTGAGTGTCTATATTTTTATCTGCTCTTCTTGAAGCAACTTGCAGTGCCATCCAAAGTAGACTTTGAAATCAGTTGAAATCAGTGTCTTAGACTGGAGTAATTCTGCATAGGATTGCACTGTCCAGAGTTTGATGGGAAAACTCATTTTACTTGGTTTGGAATAGTAAATTGTGGTATGCTGTTTTGTGCATACTTAGGCTCCCTTTTTCACTTTGCAATGGGCCACCTAATTAGGTGTTGATTTACTGTTGTTTTTTTGAACTCCAAATCCACTTTCTCCACATTCAAGGGAATTTACACATACCTGAAATCCATCAACAGAACCAACATGTGTGTCTGCACTGTACACTCAATAACAAAGAAACAAAAACTACCCTTACCTGTTTGAAGCTATAGCTGAACGACTGCCTCTCCCTGTATGAACTGGTGTGTCAACTCCACCAAAACCAATAGGCAAGGCTAACCAAAGTCTGTAGAATAGCTCTATATTGCTTACAGGCAGAGTGGAAGGAAACTGTTCACACTTTCAATGGCAGCCCACTCCAAAGCACTGGAGCCACCACTGAAAGAAACCTGCAATGGACTGCCAGTGTGCTAATGTCTATGTCAGGGATAGAAAAGAAGAACTGATCTGGGGTGGACTTGGCAGACCAGTTCATAAAAGGGGAAGCAGTCCTTCAGATATTCATAAATGGAAACAAATTGGCAATGTCTGTCTAGCATATGTAGTATGATGGAACACTTTCAGGACTAATGTAATGTTGAAAATGATGGGCCCTAGTTAATGAATGCACCACAGTGTATTATAAAAGTTGTTTTTAGGGACAGTCCCATATGCAATACATTGCAGTAATCTAAGTTTGAGGTTACTGTGGCATGATTCAGCATGACCAGATCAGTTTAATCTAAATAAAGAATCAGCCTACATACCGGATGTGATTGGGAATATAGTTAGTAATATACCAACCTCTTTGCCCATCAGTGGCTGGATTTTTGCATCCTCTTGGGTTCTTCACAGCCTTTGCCAAAGAAAAAGCTGCTGGGTTGGATCGTGCGATCTGCTGGAAGACACTGGCAGATACAGATTTTCATGGGGTTCCCCTTTCCCCAGCACTGAAGCTATGCTGGTGGAAGAGGATGGAAGGAGGCAGTTTCACCCTCTACACTGTTTTCATTGGAGTCTCACAATGGGTTGTGGGTTAGAAGCACCTGCTGGGGGGAAGAAAACCTGAAAATCTGTATTCTTCCAGTAGACCGCTTAATCCAGCCCACCCCATCTAGGGTTGGCAGTACCACTCCTTCCAGCTTTTCAGTCTTTCCAACCAGTATCACCTGTATCTTATCTCAGTTGAGCTTCAGTTTCTTCCGCCTTGGCTACTTGATTATGTCATCCAGACACTGGCCTAGGGCAGAGATTGGCAGCTTCGGGGGGGGGGGGGCGGGACAGTTAAATATAAAGCTGGGTGTCATCAACACGCTGATTGCACTTGACCCCAAAGCTACAGGTTATCTTTGTCTGACATAGATATTAAATAATTTTGAAATTGGACTCAGCTCTGAGGCATCCTGCATGTCAGCTCACAGAGCGCTGACTCTTCTCCAGCAATAATGGTGAGTCCTGTGGAACAAAAATGACTGAAGCCATCAGAAATGTTTTTGCTTTTCTGGTCAACTACTATTTACCATTATGTCCAAATTGGCAAATTATGGTTTTGGTTTCCTCAGTAAACCCAGATTCCAAACTAGGATTAAATCAGAGTTGGGAATCCTGGTTGGAAGGGAAAGTGTGAACTGTAGGTTGCTAGTTTGGTAGTAGCACTATACTTACTTTTAGAGCAGAACTGGTTATTAGCTTGCTGCATGTTTGGGAGGAGGGAGTGCTTGAACCTGTGTAGTCCACAGGCTTGTATGTGTCGTGGTAAACTATGGCTTGCTGTTATGTCTCGAAACAAGACTTTCAAATTAATGAACTGCATCCATTCAGAATGAAATACTATAGGAAAAGGTGTGAACAGCCTAACAGTTTACTTCTGTTTGATTATTTAATAGTGTAGTTCTTCTGTTCCATAATTCACTGTTGTACTATGAAACTTCATTTGGGGTTCTTAAAACAGACACAATTAAAATAACAATGTCTTGTAGATGGAGAAGAGAAAACATATGGTGGATGTGAAGGCCCTGATGCTATGTATGTGAAGTTGATATCCTCTGATGGCCATGAATTCATTGTCAAACGAGAACATGCACTCACGTCAGGAACAATAAAAGCTATGTTGAGTGGCCCAGGTAGGTACAAGAAATGGTAGGTTTCCTGTGCGGTGTAATGTGAGCATGCGAACAATCTCTTGAACTGGTTCCCCAGCTTCTTTAGTGGAAATTCAATTTTATGGATTGTTCTTCCTTTGCTATCAAAGATAATGTAGCCAGATAACAAGAAGTGTGTGAATCCACAGTATCTTGAATGCATTTTGGAAATTGGGGCTTTATCCATTTTACAAGCCCTTGATCTTATGGTCGACTGTCTGAAGTGAATACATGTTTTTCTGGTTAGCATTTGAATCTGAATCTGAATGCATAAGAATTTGATTCCAAAATTTTTAGGCATCTTAAAAGGAATATTTCCATTATATCAAGGTAATCAATGGATTATTAAATCCTTTATAATTGAGCCGGGATTTCTAGTATGTGAGTTCCAAGAAGCAAAGCTAACGAACAGTAGCATATGGAACTCTCTGTAACTGTTCAAATTCTACCTTTCTCCATAAATTAATGATGTTTGGGATTTGAAAAATAATTCTGTAGTCACCAGTTAACAAGAAAAACGGTACTGCTTTCAGTATGCCTTGAAGTCTGCTGGATTGGGGTGAGCAGAAGGGATGTTCTCATTGGGTTTTCTGGCCAGTCTGAACTTGTGGGAAGGCTTTCAGTTATGTTAATAGTATATGTGCTACAATAAGAGTTCAGTGCTGGTTGAAGCTGGGTATTCTAAGCATGCTGTGTTTCATTATGCTTTAAAATCTAGAAGAGGAATCTTTTCCTCTTTTTTAATCTATTTCAAATCTTTATTTTATGAATGCTTATTTATTTATTTATATTTTAAAATTTTTATTCCGCCCTCCCCAAAGCGGGCTCAGGACGGCTCACAAGAGACCAAGTTCCCACTAAGTCAACCAGTGCAGGATTCCTTATAATATGACATCTCAGATCAAGCACAGAACTGTTAGTGCAGATCAGAGTGAAATTACTTCAGATCCTGATGAATTGATAAACTCAAGCTAAAATGACAGTATCTTTGTATACTAATGGCACAATTAGTTCTGGGCACCCAAAGGGAATGCTGGAGTTCTGTTGATAAACAATATCTGTCTCTTGCCCCAATTATTGTATCACAATAATTTTTTGGAAACTCAAGCAACATTTGAAAGTGCTTTGCTGTATAAAGTGTGTGAGCTCTTAAGAGTTTGTCTAGAGGAATTAGTAAAAGAAAGCAAAAATTGGATACAATGGGTTTTTTATTCAATTTTGAGCAAGTTTTAAACTCCATTTCAATAAACTGTATTTGTGAAAAATCTATTTTAAGATGGTTATCACTCGTAGTATTTGAGAGAAAAAAGAAACAATGTAGAATGGCAGATACTTGCAAACAAGAGACCAACTTGCTTTCCATATGCCCAACCAGCCTTGCTAAGGCTTTGTTTTAAGAATCTAATTCAGTAATACTTGACTCACATTTTAAAAAATGCATGTAAATTATCCCAATTTGTGATAAAATTAACCTAGACAGCCTCATTGGATCCAAATGGTCCAAGACACTGACTCTAGAGCTGTCCTCTGGCCAACATGGTATATTCTACTGATGACAGATTCCTGGCACCAGAAGCCTCTACCCAGTTAGTGGAATAGAACTTTTGGATCCAATCTCCTGTGCTTAGGATGTTTAAAAGGAAACTTTTATTGAACAATTCCCTATTCGTTTTGGAAATAAATTCTACTTAGTTTAAAAGAATGTTTTAGGATATAGTTTCGGATGTACACAATATGTTTTGGCATACTGCTTTTAAATGAGTTATAAAGCTAATAAGTGTAATCCTTTTTGGAGATGGAGCTCAGAATCAAAGCTCAGAATTCATGCTCCAAAACATATCCAAGAAAGGGAGACTTACTCATACAAACAAGTTTGCCCTAGAACCACATGAAGTACCTTGAGAAAAGCAATCAATATTCACTCATAATGCTAGAGAGAGAGAAATCTGCCTTGCCCACCTGTTCCCCTAATGTTCCTGCAAAGCAATAACTTTAGCGGAAGACTTGTGTTCTCCCACACTCAAAGCTACTAACTTCTCAAGATGGCTGCAGATCTGAAGTACAAGGGAGAGCTCCCAGTGATCTCCTCAAAAGGGAACAGCAGAAAAGGCATAGTCTAGTCCATATCTAGTGACTGACACAATGACATCAGCTAGGAATTGAATAGCAGGACACTCAAGTGCTGCCATTTCTTACAATATTCAAGTGACACAGCATTCTTAAAATACCCATATTCAGACAGCAGTGAATTTATTACATTTTATTTGCTGCAGGACTGCTATTCCCATTGTCTTATTTGCATATATACAAATAAAATCTCTCTTTCACTCTCTCTAGGACAGTTTGCTGAAAATGAAACAAATGAAGTAAATTTCAGAGAGATCCCCTCCCATGTCCTATCCAAAGTGTGCATGTATTTCACCTACAAGGTTCGCTACACTAACAGCTCCACAGAGATTCCTGAATTTCCAATTGCACCTGAAATTGCACTGGAACTGCTGATGGCTGCAAACTTCTTAGATTGTTAAATAAAATAAATTATAATAAAAATGTAAACTTTTTTTTCAGTATTTAATACACGTAGTTCAGTTAGTAATTTTTTTCATATAGCATGTTGTGTATGTTTGGTTAAGGACTGTAATGGTCACTGCAGCAGGCTATTGCCTGCAGTGGTTTGGCATGCATGGATTTTGTTTCACGGCTTACATCAATAACAGTCTTCTCACCAACTGAAAAATAAACGTGTCAACTCGTGGATGACTTTGCCTTATCCTTCAGCAGTGACAGAATTCTTCACCCTTTATGCTGATTACTGTATTTCTGTGGTTGAAGCATCAGAAAACACTATATACTTACAGCCACTGTTAACTTCTGTCGTCTTATGATGTAAACATTTATTTTTACTTGAGTATTCATGATTCCAGTATGCATTATTACATTGGTGTAGCAGTTTATCATGGCTGTGCTCCAGTGTGCAAAGGGTGATTTTGTATAGCACTGTCAGATATGTAAAGCAGAAATCTAGCAGTCAACTCTAAATTTGCTGAGTTCCACATATTTAGCCATGCTTTGGCAAGACCTTTGTTTGCTGTACATATTTTAATGGATATGCATGCTTTTGCCAGCAATGTAAGAAGTAGCATTCAAATCTGCCCTTTCCCCAGGAGGGAGGGTTTGCAGGGCAGAGCTCCAGCTCTTCCAGAGCACCCTGCCACCCACTGACCTCCTGAGGCCATATATGCTTGTGATACTGGTCTTGTGGAACCAGTCTATAACAAATTCAGCTGGAAATGAAGACAATCTTGTGAGCGATATCCTGACTCAGGCATCGGTAGACCTGGGGTGAGAAGCTGTACCCATCTCATTCCATTCTAGCTATGAGGTACTTAAAATAAGGAAGGTGGACCATGCTCCCTTCACTGTCAGAGGTAACTTCAAAACCAAGTGCCCTGGGAGTCAATTCCAACAGTAGCTAGCAGTTGCTCAAAGGACATTTGAGAAATAAGGTACTTTGTCATTTGCCTATCCCTCATCATTCAAGCCAAAAAATATTTCCCCTGCTTTGCAGTACCTGGTCGATAGCAGATGAAAACTTCATGCATTAAATAAATATATACATAAACAACTGCTGAAATGTAATCTTAGTGTGTGCCAAAATATGGTCTAGAGCAGTGGTGGCCAAAGTTGCTTAATGTAAGAGCCACACAGAATAATTGTCAGATGTTTGAGAGCCACAAGACATGAACAGATACAACCCACATGTTTTTATAGGGAAAAAAGCAAATTTGCTTTTTATTAACATGAAATGAGACTGCCAAAAATAAAAAGGGTGAAAACAGATATTGATAATGATATTTAGATGGGGAGGGAGGGGAAAAAGAGAAAGAAAGGTGGAAGGAAAAAGTGGAAAGAAAGCAAATAGATGAGGGAGGGAGGGAGAGGTGGAAAGAAAGCCACTAACTGTAAATGCTTCTTCCAAGACCCCTGCCAGCTGGCTTGGCTTGGCGAAGGTATTTAAAAAGACTAATGCCTTCTCCAAACCAGTCGGTGGCGGGGGGAGGGGGTGTCTTTAAGTTGCTTTCTTTCTCTGCTCCCCCCCCACCTCAAGCATACCCAGGGAGGGGAGCACTATCTGGGAAAGGGAGGATCGATTGGGAAGGCATGCCTCCCTTTCGCTTGCCCAGCCGGGAGCCACGCAATATGTGTGAAAGAGCCGCATGCGGCTCTTGAGCTGCAGTTTGGCCATCCCTGGTCTAGAGGCTGCTGGGGTATAAAATAACAATGGGGGCTGCAGCCTCCTGGGCAGTGCCAAGGGAGGCAGGGTGGCTGCTCCATTCCTCCATTGTGTTCATTGTTCTGGTTTAGCATGATCAGGCACCTTTTTACACTGTCTTTAAAATAGTGTATTTTGCTTTCTTTGCTTGGGTCCAAAGTGCTGTGAGCTGAGCAAAGTTCATCGCATGGGACTCTCCTGCCTCCCTCCTCATGCTGCAGGCCTGAGCTCCCATCCCATTGTGTTCCTGGACATAAAGGAATACTTAAATATTCTTGGGGGGGGTGGGTGGGGTCTGCACTGGAAGGAGGAAATAGGCAAAAATAGCTCTTCCCCCTGCTGTTAGCAGAAGTAGTATTTTGGTATTGCAAGTGTTACAGTACTAGAACAGCAAAGAACCATTCAGATGGAAAGAATATCTTGTGGAAGGAATTCAGTTCCTTTCAAAAAATAACCACTATTCCCCTGTAGCTTTTAAGTTGGCAAGCGCTGGTGATGTGAGAACAAATGCAATTCCAGCGAGGTGTGCTGTCAGTGTCTGTGAGATGTGGCCTTTTGGTACTGCAAAGTACAGTTGCTATGCAACTGGCCCAGCAGAGGAAGATGAATATATAACTTTGGTAAGAGGTGAAATGCTGTGGAGGTGGGGTGGGATAAAACCATCCCATTCGTTACAGAAGCTGCCAAATACTATATACTATACATAAAAGAAAAGGCACATGGATGAAATACTTTAATACAAATCAAGTGGATGCTGAGACAAACTTGTTAAATGTTGCTGCACATTGCCTAGACCAATGATTCCTGAACTATATTGAGGGAACAGGAGGTTGAAATATGCCTGAAAGAACTACCTTATCACATGAATTCATCATTCAACCTATTGAAGAGCAATGAAATTGTGAGATTTTTGGATGTGTGGGTGTGTGTTTAACCCTGTCACCCACACTCCCCCCCCCCTCAGTTCATGTGTCTCCTGTGTGTTGCCCCTTACCAAAGGCAGAAGTGCAAGCTTGGAATTCACTAGTCTCTTCTTAAAATAAAACTTATCTTTATTATAGCAAAACATTCAGAGTCCTAATTCCTAAACATTTTATAGAATACACAGAAAAATAAACATGCAAAGCAAAGTTTTCCCCACCCCATGCATGCGCGTCGAGAGGCCTCTCTCTCTGGCTGTCTCCTTTGGAGTCAGCTGAAGTCTGTTGTGAACCACCCATATTTATACCAGAGATCAAAGGGATCCCTTAATAATTGGATTGCAGTTAAAATATAACACTTAGAAATTGCATTTGTCTTTGAGGAAATTGGTTTCCCTCCCTTGGTCTCACATAACAGGATCAATACAGGGTCATTGTTTATTCCTGGTATTTCCCAATCATGGGAAATAAATTGTGCATTGATGTTATCAGAAAGGTGAGAGTAGGGGTGCATGTGAACTTTCCGTATCTCAAGAAGCTAGTCTGATGGATTGCCATTTTGCCTTGAAATTTAAGTCTGTCACTCCCCAAATGGTCTAGGCAATCCTTATTGCCTGGGAAATTAAGGATATTGGCAGGTCCCACATCAGTGATTTCCCTGGGAATGGAATGTTACATCCTTAGTGAAAAGGCCCAGCCTGTTTTAGAGACAGATGTATATGGATTTCAGAAACTATGTTGGTTCATTTTAAACCCAAACTTTCTTCTATATTTCTAATATTTCTTACCACAGAAATAAGCAATATTGTGTTGTTTAAGGACTCCCTTTTTCTCCCTTCTTCCTGTCAGAGCAGGAAGGCTACAGAACACACTAGAGAATGAAAGGGATATACTGAGACCCTTTTAATACATCCCTGAGCTCCAACTAACAGGGCAAAGGGTATATTAGAATTTATTTTGTTTTTTTAAATTAAAAATATTCTGCTTTACTGAATATAGCTTATTTGAAGTCAAGGGTACAAGAAAACCTAGCGGAATCTTGTGGCACTTCGTTATTTTGCTGGCAACAGATAAACAAGGCTGACACTGTAAAGAAAATGGATTCAGAAATGTGTATGCTGCAGCAAACATGAAAGTCTCAGCTTTTTGTTTCTTTGAGAGAAAAATAATGGAAAAATGTTTTTGTTAACTTGTGACTACAGTCAATAGTTTATAGCTGCATTCAGGTTTACTTCGTTAAGTTTCTTTCAACAAACCAAGTTCAGCCCCTGATATTTCCAATTAAAATATCAGGGGACGGCAAATATCTTTACCTGAGACCAGCCATATAGTGAGCAGTACTGACTTTGACAGGCCAGTGGTCAGACTCAGTATGAAGCAACTTCATGTGTAAAAAAATAAGAAACAACAAACCAATCCAAATCAAAGCCCTCTTTTTAAAAAGCTTGGCTTTGGGGTGTGTGTGTGCTCTGAACAGCAGTGAAGATGTTATTGCCCTGAGTGGACTGCAAGCTGTTGGCAATCCCCTATTTAATACTTTGTTGTCGGTAAACATATTGTGTTCTGTTGGAAAGAGGCATCTTACATACTACACTGGAATGCTGCAAGTTTTGGTAAATGCATCTGCAACTGTTGTTCAGGTTACTAGTGGTTTCAATGGAACTTTTAAGCAAATGTGTCTAGCTTTAAATAGGGGGACACCTTTGACCAGTAGAAGAAGAGTTGGGTTTTCTTACCCTGCTTTTCTCTATCCTAAGGAGTCTCAAAGCAGCTTACAATTGCCTTCCCTTCCTCTCCCCACAACAGGCACCTTGTGAGGTAGGTGGTGCTGAGAGAGTTCTGAGAGAACTGTGACTGGCCCAAAGTTACCCAGTGGGCTTCATGTGGAGGAGTGGGGAATCAAACCCAGTTCTCCAGATTAGAGTCTGCTGCTCTTAACCACTACACCACACTGACCACTTATTTAGGTAATGCTGTAGGCTACACTGAGTGGTTTAGATGGGGTGGCCAATAAATCTCCAACAATAATTTACCTTTGGTCAATAGTTTAACACAGCAATCCGATGTGCAGAGTTACATCACTTCTACTTTGATCATGTGGTGTAATCTGTTTTCTTGCTGAGCTGGAAAGGTTTTATTATACTACAAAGAGTAAGGCCCATTATGGGAAGAAATACAACGAGCTCTAGAAGGAAGCTCCAGGTGAGTGTCCCAGCTGTGGCTGGTGGGGCAGCAGAGGGAAGGGGAAAATAGAAGGAGGCAAGCCATGCTTCTTTCCTTCTGCTTACCTATAAGGCAGGGCTGTCTCAAGTCATTTTGCTGCCCCAAGTGAGTAGTAGGGTAAGACAGCCTCATGGTAACAGGCAGGGGTCATTTCGTAGAAAAAGAGCTAGGGGAACTCATTAGCATAACTCATTAGCATATGCCACACCCCCTGACAGCAGGGGCCCAGTGGTGGACCTGCAAGGCCAGCAGGAGTGCGAGGAAGCCCCGCCAAGGCCCTCCCTGGCCCCAGGCAGGCAGGGGTGGGGAGAGGCAGGGAGGAAACAACTTACTCTCCCTCTTCTCCTGCCTCCTCCTGGCTGAATGAGGGCTGGAAGCGGGGCGGCCAGAAGCAGGGGGCAGGGCTTCATCATGTGCCCCGCCCCCCTGCACCTCACCCGGGGCAACTGCGTTCCCCCGCGTTCCCCCCCGAAATGACCTCTGGTAACAGGTATGGTTCCCTCCACCCCTGACTTATGTTGATTTGAGGTTATGCAATGGCAGCTAAGGTAGAAAAGCACCTCCTCCTGTGCCATGTTTTCTGGGTTCCAAGGGTCTGGAAAGTGGTTCCATAGCCAATTACATGGTTGCCAACTCTGGGTTGGGAAATACCTGTAGATTTGAGGGGTAGAGGCTGGGGAGGGCAGGGTTTGGGGTGCGGAGGGACTTCAGCAGGGTATAATGCCATACAGTCCACTGGCCCAAGCAGCCATTGTCTCCAGGAGAATTGATCTTGGCCATCTGGAGATCAGTTGTAATAGCTTGGAAATTTTCTGTAGGGGAAATGATGTGCTGTGGCTGCGGAACACGGTGATTTCTGGAAGATCTCCAGGCCCCACAGGGAGACTGGCAATTCCAGTGACCGTTTAAGGGAAGACTAGGGTATATATTTTACCTGAGGACACATTCAATTACTCCCAACAGCAACAGCAAACTCTTTAGAATGTTAGAGGCAAAGGCCAATCAGGCCGCATATGCAAACGACCTCTGTGTTCCGACTGGCTATGGGGGGTGGGGGGAGAGGAACAGCAAACTCTTTAGAATGTTGGAGGCAGGACTCAGGCAACGAAGCCAATGGACAGGGACAGCTTCTGAGTGACACATCATGGAGCTAACTGATTTAGGAGTGTGTGGAATGTTCAGAAAGTACCACCCCACTTCACAATTATATATAAGGAGAGATATAAAGCAAGAACTGAAAACTATCTTGCCTTTCTTGTAATCTGTCTCCAGAAGGGTTTCTGGAGAGCAGGATAGAAATGTTCTAAATGCTCGCCAAAGGAGGCGAAGGTTGCTGGAGACAGAAACACATTATAGATATCTATATGATATTAGTAGGCACATTGATGAACAAAAACTATTGAGGTAGACTCAGCATGGGTTCTGTAAGGGAAGTTCTTGTCTCACTAACCTGTTAGTGTTCTTTGAGAGAGTGAACAAACATATGGACAAGGGGGACCCAATAGATGTTGTTTAATATGTTGTCAAAGGTTTCACGGCCAGAATTCATTAGTTGCTGTAGATTTTCTGGGCTGTATGGCCGTGGTCTTGGCACTGTAGGACCTGACATTTCGCCAGCAGCTGTGACTGGCATCCTCAGAGGTATAACACAGATCCACAGATTATAATAATCCTCAGAGGTATCTCTGTGTCAAGGTGAGAAGACAAACCCAGTACTCAACAATGCACGCGTTGTCGTCAATCTGATGGATCGTAAACTCTCACTTTGCAGTCACCCCCACAGAAATTCCTGTGGAAGACATCATCGCAAATGTAGACGCTGCCATTCATCATCTACCTGAAGAAGAAGCTGAAGAGATAAGAGGGGAGACAGCAAGGATTCTATGAAAAGCAAAGCTTCCTACCAGCAATATAAGGAGAGAAATGCCATCAAGACCATCAGTGCGGATCCAGACATCATTATTCTACCAGCTGACAAAAGCAATGCCACAGTGATCATGAAAATGGAAGAATACAAAACAAGATTAGAGAACATCTGGACCCCGCCACATACAAAAAACTAAAATGAGATCCAACCTGCAAAATCACCAGGCAAACGAGCTCACTGATCAAGAATTCCTCACTTCATCCCGACACACACAAAAAACTATACAAGACAGAAGCACAACCACCATGACTATGTGGACTCCCTAAAATTCATAAGTACTCAGTCCCACTCCGACCCATCAAGAGTGCCACGGTTCCCCTACAGAACCCCTACACGGTTCTCCTACAGAACCACATCAGAAAGACCACAACATACATCAAAGATCCAACACATTTCATCAACAAAATCAGTCCTCTGAAACTCAACCCACAGGACATACTCGTCAGTTTTAATGTGGTATCTCATTTACCAAGGTTCCAGTAAAAGATACATTTGCGCTTGTTAATCAAATTTTCCCGGAAGACATAACAGCCTTATTCCAACATTCTTTGACAACCAGTTACTTCCAATGGGATAATGAATTCTATGAACAGATGGATGGGGTTGCCATGGGAAGCCCTCTCAGCCCGGTTATAGCAAACGTCTACATGGAACATTTTGAAAAAACAGCTTTAGAATCTGCACCCCACAAACCTACAGTCTGGTTCTGGTACATAGGTAATACCTTTATCATTTGGAGCCATGGAGAATTAGACCACCTCAACAATATCCACCCGAACATACAATTCACCATGGAAAAAGAAATCCAGGGTAAACTCCCATTTCTAGATAACATGGTCATCTGCAAAGCTAACCTTCAATTAGGTCACAAGGTCTACAGAAAACCAACTTACATGGATTGTTATTTACACAAAATCTCCAATCACCACCCTCGGCAAAAAGAGGCATAATCAAAACATTAGTAGACCGCGCAAGACGGATATGTGAACCGCACTTTCTCAACAGTGAACTAAATCATCTAAACTACTCACTTCAAGCAAATGGCTACTCCAAGAATTAAATCAAAAGAGCAATTAAACCAAAGGTAGCCGGTCCTTCCTCCACTTCTCCCTCCCCATTTTGTTTTAAGCAATGTAATATACTGTAATATACTGTAATATACTGTAATATATATACAAGGGGTGGACCCGCGATACTCGCGCAGGGGGTGGGGCCTTGAAGAGAATCTGGGATTCCTAGAGACTCGTTTTAAAGCGCACGCTACCCGGTTGTGTGAGAATTTCCACAGCATTTTCTGCCTCCTTTTAAAAAAAATTAAAATGCGGCACCTACAGGTCGGCAGCCGCCAAATGAATCGCCCTCCCCCCAGGCCAGCAGGTCTTTCTCCATTCCCAGCAAGTTTTGAAGAAAGCTCTCAGCGGAGGGAAGAAGCCACTGAGGCGGCAAACGGAAGAAGAGCCTGTGGAGATACTCAAGCCAATGGACGCCGCCGGGGAGATGGTCTGCGAGCCGTCCCGCCCCCCAGCTCGCAGGAGACGCGACAGAAGAAGCTCGTCTGCAAGGCTGCGAAACGCCTTCCCAGTTCAGCTTTCCTGCACCGAATTTCGAAGGAATCCCAAATTCGCTTCTCTGAGATCGAGACCCCCCCATCCAGCACTGAAGCGAGGGGCAAGCGGCTCCCCTCGCTGTTTCCCCCCCCCCCCCGCCCCCGCGCCCT